GGACAGACCCATGCCCAGCCGGCTCCAAGGCGGACCCACCGCTGGCCAAGGCCGAGTCCATCAGCAGTGGTGGTAGCACCTCTGGGACAACATATTTAAAATGGGGGGAGAAAAACAGCAAAAGCAATTGCAGCTGGATAGAGGAATGAGAATGCGAGAGGAACAGCCCTGCAGACACCAAGGCCAGAGCAGAAGGAGGGGCAGGAGGGGCTCCAGGCGCCGGAGCAGAGATTCCCCGGCAGCCCCTGGGGAAGCCCATGGTGAGGCTGGCTGTGCCCCTGCAGCCCATGGAGCTCCACGCTGGAGCAGATCTCCACCTGCAGCCCGGGGAGGACCCCAAGCCGGTGCAGGTAGGATGCCTGAAGGAGGCTGTGACCCTGTGGGAAGCCCACACTGAGCAGGCTCCTGGCAGGACCTGTGGACCCATGGAGAGAGGAGACCATGCTGGAGCAGGTTTGCTGGCAGGACTTGTGACCCCATGGAGGACCCATGGTGGAGCAATCTGTTCCTGAAGGATGGCACCCATGGAAGGGACCCAGGCTGGAGCAGTTCTTGAAGAACTGCAGCCTGTGCAAAGGACTCACGTTGGAGAAGTTCATGGAGGACTGTCTCCCATGGGAGGGACCCCAGGCTGGAGCACGGCAGAGTGTGAGGAGTCCTCCCCCTGAGGAGGAAGGAGCGGCAGAGACAATGTGTGAAGCTCCCATTCCCCATCCCCCTGTGCCGCTTCGGCGGGGAGGAAGGGAAGAAAAACCAGGAGTGAAGTTGAGCCTGGGAAGAAGGAAGGGGTGGGGAGAAGGTGTTTTAAGGTTTGGTTTTAGTTATCATTACCTCTACTCTGATTTGCCTGGTAATAAATTAATTTTTCCCTGAGTCGAGTCTGTTTTGCCCATGAAAGTAATTGCTGAATGATCTCTCCCTGTCTTTATCTTGATCTACAAGCTTTTTGTTATATTTTCTCTCCCCTGTCCAGCTGAGGAGGGGAGTGATAGAGCAGCTTTGGTGGGCACTTGGCATCAAACCGAGGTCAACCCACCACAGATTGTAAGAATAACATATGTAGTCTGATAAGAAGCATCACCTAGGCACACAGTATCACCTTGCATAGAAGAGCTAAGGAGGCCTTCACTGTGCATGGAGAGCACCGGACAATATAAAGCCACTTCAAGATAAGGAAGCCCTCACTGTCAATGGGTCCAGCAAGGCTCCTGAGAGCTGCATGAATTCTAGACCTTAATGCAGAGACAAAGACCGCCAAACAAGGCTATCTATTAAGAGACAGACTGCATGCTTCTTAACAGATCCAAACTGCAGCTAAGACTAGCCGTACATTAAGGCAGCTGAGGTAAGATTAAATGATGCTGTACTCACCATGTTTTGCAAGACCTAAAGAGATATGTGAAACTGTCTGAGTAGACAAGAGTGCAGATAAATGTTCCTTTGTGTCAGACAAAAAGACAACATTTAATAACAGTGCTAATTTGTCCAAACAGCTTGAACTCACTAATTACATCTATACGAGATGTAAACCAAATAGACTAGAGCCTGTTATTTAGCCACTACTAACTGGCATGACATTGTTCTAGTACCCTCTACAGCAGATCAAATACATTCAAAGTGCCTATTGGAAACAGTTCCTTCCTTACCCATAGTAACCTTCAACCATATCTAGGAACTGTTTAGAAAAATGCTGGTTAGCGTGGGCCAAAACTGTGCCAGTAACCATGTTAACATTTTACAAGCCAGAAATTTGTAATCAATTCACAAAATGTAGACATTGTGTACAATGGAGAAACAGTGCCATTTTCCCAGTTTGTAGCAAGGCTCAGACCATTACAGACTATTTGCAATCTTTGTAATGAATTTTGCAGCTTTTAGTCTCCAAAACATGAGAAAGGCCATCTAGCCTAGGATCTGTGTTGGACAGTATTAAGGAGATCAAGCAAGCTGCTTTACCCATCCTTGTACTCTAAAAATACCTCCTCAGAATACACTCCTGGACTAAAAAATTTTGCAGCTCAGACCAAGCAAGAAACATCATCTCTCATAGCTCTTATGGCTCAGATGCCATCAACTTGAGAGGGAAGTGGATGAGCACAAAGGAAGTCTATATCCCTAAGAACCCAATGTATCTAATTAGTTCTAACAAGTTGAGCCTGCTCTGCCTGCAGCAGTTTAGGAGCTGGAGCTGGCCAGTCCAAACCATATGGAATAAAACATAAGCCTGGTCCTAAGAAGGAAGTGTCAGAGGTTATTTTGACACACTAGGACCCAAAGCTCATGTGCTTTATTGCCACTGTCCTATGAAGGATACTGTGTTTGCACTTTAGGGTTTGCTTAGCTTGGAAGGTCCCCTTGTCTGAAGGACTGACAAATAAAACAGTTCATCCTGATGCCACTTGTTGCACCCTTATGGTGCAACAAAAGTAACACAGTGTCTACCACATGCTATAGCACCAAACAGCCCCTAACATGGAAGGGTACTGTGGAGGTGGCTTAAGTGAGATTGACCCTGGTGCTACATACTAGTGCTGTATGAAAATTACATTATCCAAAAAGCCCAAGCAACATCGAGGAAACAGAATGTCACTCAAGCAAGACCCTTACACGTGACACTCAAATGCTGCAAAGATGCCAATTACAAACCTGGTATTGAAGAAGGGTTACCGACTGCCATAGCGTCCATGGGTTAGACTGGGCAAGTCTGTGCCAGGATGGCTAATTGATCAGACCCATTTGAAGAGGCCAATGGAAATATGGGGAGGGGAGTTTTTGTAACACAGAAATTTTAACGAATATATACGGAAGAAGTACAGCTCCTACCTTTTTTTTGGCAATACACGGTATCACTGGATTAGAGTCATAGCAAAGTGAATTAAGATTATTTTAGTAATTTGAAATGTTTGAACCCAAGTCAGTTTGATACATTATCTATACAAATTGTTCTTCACATAATAGCAAAAGTGAAGTGAAATCCCAAAAAATTACCAATTTCAAGTCTCCACAGCTGTTGGCAATGCAACTTTCTTCAACCAGTTCATTCACTTTTTTTTCCAACTGCCTAATCTTCTCTTCTGAACTAAAAATAACAATAATAGGATTAACACTAGTAATGTAGCTGCAAACACTAAGCTTTTACACAGGGTATTCTCAATAAAACACCACAGTGATGTATCGCATGCCACAACTAACTGGTCTTCCCACCAAAGAAAATATAATGTGAAACTATGCCCAGAGAAGATCCTCCAAAGATATCATATTCATACTTTTAATTTGAGATCAGAAACCTAAGAAAACATAGATCTTATGAGAACAAGAGACACATGCAAATTTCATGGACCCAATTTGTTCAGTAGAAGTAATGACAGAACAAACAGATGGGCTAGTAAAACTTTCAAATCAAGCACCTAGTGAAATGAAATATTGTATTAAGAGCAATTAATTGAACCTTTATTTGCACAGATAACTTTTAAAATATAGTTTGCAAATGCAGATTATAATAAACAGTTGTTACTCATCTAGATTTTTCCCTCAGTTCAATAACCAAACATTTCAGTATGATTCCATATTCCTATATAGCTACATTTAATAAACACAACTTTTGTATTGAAAAGCTCAATGACTTGTTCTCAGTGAATGCCCCAACATTCACACCAGCCTGCAAAACATTCACAACCCCGGTTTTACCTCAAGTGCTAAGCTCAGAGTGAACAGGGAAAAAACAGCAGGCAAAATTCCCCCAAGTTATTCCCAGAGCGCTGCATGAATCATGGTGTTCCTTGCCTGTCACACAGTCTTCCATAAACCTCCACAATTCTATGTAAGTATCACAGCATTTGTGTGGCAACAGCTATGTCCAGGTTGCTGAGCTACAGCCAGAACCAGAAATCACTGAAATCAGACGTTCCTGAAAGTCAGGGCAACTGCTCTGGTGAGTCATCTAACCACATGCATAAATACTTGTGGCATTATTCCACAAAGTTAAGAGTTTGGCCCCTCAAGCCTTTCTAACTGCTTGGATGTTTTTAAACTCTACCCATGGCTGTTTTTTTGTTGCTGTTAATGCTTTGAAATAATTTAATGCAAAACTGAACAAACCTGTCTGAATTTTTCATTTCCAGAGGTGGAGCAGGACCTCTTGCTTGACCAAGTGGATCAAATAAAGAACCTGCAAAAATAAGCGTAGTGAAAATTGTAAAATAACATCTCCCTCTGGCAGCTGGCTATTTCTACAAGCCATACCTCTCATAGCTGCCTTAGTGTAACCTGCAGCATGCACTGCTGTCATTGGTCGAGCAACCCCATCCTTAAATAAAAAGGAAGAAATATTAAAATAATCTTCCTAAAAAATAGATTGTGGACAGCACAGACATCAGTTACAGATTACAAAACCTTTAAATATGAAAACCTGTTTTTACCACCTCAGTAAATGGAATATTTTTAAAATGTTTTTATTTCTCAGATATTATACATCATATAATATGTGTGTGTTCAGCCTTGAGAAAAGGCAGCTTAGGGAAGACCTTATCACCATGCTCCTGTATTTAAAGGGTGGCTACAAAGAAGATGGAGACTCCCTTTTCACAAGGAGTCACATAGAAAAGACGAGGGGTAATGGGTACAAGTTACTCCCAGGCAGATTCTGACTGGACACAGGAGGAAAATCTTTCACAATGAGAACAATCAGCCTTATTAAATTTTCTTGTCAGGAACACTAAGCGCACTAATAAACCTTAATGGCCCTGACCAGACTCACCTGGGGCCTCCAGCCCCATGCACCACACACCCATGGGTCTTTATTTAAGCTCAACCCTGGTCCTTCAGCCCCTACCTGAGCTTTGTTGGAGGACTACTGGTTTCCACATCAGCTACAGCTATGCTTGGCCACAGAGTCCCTTGATACAGATTTCAACCTGTGGACTAACCTCCTGAATTCATCTTAGCCTTGCCTTGTCACTACGGTCCTGCCAGGGATCACTGGTCCTAACCATGGCCATTGACTTTTTGGCTTGACCTTGGACCTGCCTCACCACCATGATACCGTCTTATGTTCTGGACTTTTGGCTGGACATGGCCACCATTTCTGGGTGGATCCTACTTGCCTTGCTCAGGTATTGTGGGACTGGGTCCTGGCTGGTGAGGGTCCTGCACTGCTGGCCGTGCAACTTCCCCCTAGGCTCCTAGCTTGCCTTCCCTAATCTTGACATTCCCTGATAATTCATGTTTCCCAACTGGGCTGGCACAAAAAAAATACAGTGGCTATAGATCTATTTAACATTAAGTCAATATACTTAAGGGTGGTGGTGGGAAAGTCATTACCAAATTGCAGCACATTCTTATTAGAGTATAAGCACATAAGAAAAATGTGACAACCAGAATCTCTCTCCCCTATTTCAAAGAAAAATTCCTCACTGCATGTCAGTAAATGTTAAAAAGCACTAGGCTGGTATTACTTCCAACCCTATGCTCAAATGAAATATTCATCATAACCCTCATGCTTTCTGACAGTAGTATTTTCAAAAAAGGACAAATTAAAACAGTGTAATAATTTGTATTATTTCAATGAACTTTTAAATACTTATATCAAACCCAAACACTTATCAGAAAACTTAATTATTCCAAATCAATATAAAATGTAAATATTGAAACTTTTACCTGGATAGCTCCTGTCATTGGTCTTCCCATAGATGAAGTTAAAGTTGCCTTTGACTACAAAAATAAGTTAATTGTTTAAAACTAGCATTCACAAAGCATTAGAAGCCTGTAAAGGCTATGTACAGTCTTCACAACACTGCGTTTTAAGAGCTGATCTACCTCTCACATAAGTTCATAGCAAAATTGCCATTTACATTATTCATATACAATACACTGTCAGTGCCTGGCAAACTTAAGATGGTGAACACTTCAGTTAGCACAAATTGTCAACATAGTTTTCAATGTATTTGGATATCTCTGACAGACTTTTAAAAAAAATTACATAGAAATTTATCTGAGGCAGCAGTACTTTCTTTTATTGAATCAGTGAAATTACTACCGTTAAACTGGACAAGTAATTTACACAAAACACTTCAGTAAGATTCTGAGTACAGCTGATAAAATCTGCCCATGTATTTATCTGTTAAGTCATACTTTCATTAAGATTTTTTTCACAATAAACACAGATATACTTTGAAACTGCCAATGGATGTCTTTTCCATTAGCTGACATGCCGCATACTGCCCTTCTGTAGTAGTGCTAAAAATGTACAGGGAATAAACGTGAAATATTTAATAGTAAGTGCTAAAGGTTGCCACAAATATACAATAAAAACAGACAGAAACAAAGGGTTTCAGGTCATGAAAAAGTATCCCACTCAGAGGCCTACGTTTTACTATTTTACCCACTATCCATCACACATTGTGACTGTTTTTCATTTTTTCTGCTAAGGATGAATCTACTTTAACAGAGACTGTTAAGGTAGAGAAGGTTAAGAGAAAATCTGTTTTTTTCTCTGCAATAAAATCAGGTTAATACCTTGAAATCTACTGCCTTATGCAGTATGGAAGTTGATTTGCAGTATGGTTTGGGAGAAAAATGAAAATAAATAAATCACCAACCATGCCTTGACCAAGTGTGGGGTTGTGACTTAATTAAAATTAGTGACCACATGTAGTTCACTGGAAAGAAATACTTGGGTAAAAAGAGCTCACTTTGTGCAAGGGATTAAATGGTAAATTCATTGTTTTGGGGAAATAACTCATTTTCATTAAGAATACAACAGAACAAAAACTTACCCCAAATCCAGTAGCTAAAGGCCTTGAAGCTGATGTACCAGGAATTTTGGCTGTCACCTGGGTAGAAAAACAAAACAAAACAAAAAAACCACCACCAATTAACAACCATAGGTATTAATTATCAGTCTTTCTATATGGTTTCTATAGTGAATTCTTATGTATATATACTTCTGTAATGTATATCCTTTTTTATATATATACAGATATATACTCTTCTAATATATATATTCTTCTGTATAGAGGAATTCTATAGTGAATTCATGGGAATAATGCTTCAGTTGTTATAGAAAGGATTCTCATTGTTGAACCAAATTATGCTGGCAAAAAAGTAATATTAATCAGGCCGTTCCAGCTCTTCTTTAGACATAAGCTATATACTTCTAAAGTGCAGGTGCCAACTTTATATTTAGTTTTGAAAACTGCTATAAGAATAAGTCACATCTAAACAGAAGAAAATTAATGTAAATTACATGAATATGGAGAAAAAATTGATCAGAACACACAGTTTTCTAAATCCCATTGTCTAGTATGTATCTCAACCTTATAATTACATGTCAGAGTGAGTAATTCTATGTGTAGAATATTAAATAAGTCCTTTCAGAATATATCATTTTGCTCTTTAACACAGTTTTATCTCATTTTATCAAACAGGAACACACATTTCTGGTCAAAGTTCCTTGTTTGCTCTAACTTAACTCCAGAACTTAATGAAATTTGTGCTCTGCTAATTTTTTTTTTACTTATTTTTCATATAAATAAAGTCTGTATCTTCATGTTAATAGTAGACAAAAAAATATAAGAGATTATGAAGATAAGTTTGTACCAGTGCCAAAATTAGAGCTAGGGCTCAAGAGGAGGTCTACATTATTGCAATGTATTTTAAAAGGTACTTACAGGGGGTCTTCTACCATGACTTGTTCTTGCTGCCTGTTGAAAAGCTACATCATTTTCTAAATCCTAGAAAAGGTAAAATAAAAATATCAACCCTTTTAAATCCACAACACACAAAGACACAAGTCTAGAACCTTATGACTATTGAAAGCAGACAGGTAAAAAACAATCCTTCTTTCAAAAATACTTGAAGATAACTGAATGACAGGTTTTACTGACAATAATGATTATATTATTTGGTCTACCATTTTGGTATTTTAGTTTAGGAAATGTAAAAACTCATTATCCTCTGAAAAATAAAAACACTGAGGAAGCAGAGCTTTAGTGATAAAATATAACATGAAGTTTTATTTCTGTCCAAAAGGTTATTATTAGCACTATTTCTAAATTTTAACATTAATGCCTGTCATGCCAATACATTAAGATATCTCACGTCTCTGAGGTCATGCTGCAACTCCCATGAATCTGGCATTGGGATTTCACACAAGATACCAAGTATTGCAACACTGGCCCTGCTTTGAGCAGGGTAGTGGGTTTGGACCAAACTACCCCTCTGTTGTTCCAATTCCACTTCACCAGCAGTTACCAGAAAGTGGTCTGCAGGGTTATCATAAGTCATCCCAGATGCTCTACCAATTGCACTGAGACCTGCAGGACTCCATTCTAACTGCCACCTCCTTTGGCTGCAGCACAGTAAGAGACCAATGACCTATTGATCATTACGTAGCCTCTTTTGTCAGAAAACCTGCTGCTGCACACTGTCTGGGAAACACCACATTGAATGTACCCGGATATGAATATGGCCTTCAAGTAACTAGGACTTTATACTTAATAAATTCTAACCATTAAAGCATGTTACAGCTGCTATGAGATGCACCCAAGTATTTTGTTGGAATAGAAAACTATTAAAAAAAACTATGCAAAAAAATTCTGGTGAAACTTCATACATTTCTTGCTAAATAAAGCAAATTTCACCTCAAAGCAGTAGTACACTTGCACATTACTGTACCCACATGTTCTTATTTGTACTTAGAAGTTAAAATCCTATGTATGTGAAAGGTGGGAAACAGCAAGTATTTTTACCTCTGTGTCAAACGTGGGATTATAATCATTGTAGCCAGAATAAAGATCATCTTCATCAGCCTCAGGAGCCAAATGTACATTTTGCATCATTTTTCTGTGAAACATTTAACATGCCAAATATTACCTCAGTGGTGTTATATGTATCTTTAAGAATGTAAAATATAAACAGTAATAAGGTTTACAAGTTCAAAGGAGCTCCAATTTCCTTTTAGTTTTTAATTGCTGCCTTTGAAATGAAAAATAAGCTATTAGTCATAAAAACTAGGGATCACATACAAACAATATCAAATGGCATCATTCCATAGAACTAGATTTTGTGAGGTATTTATACCAGTCACGAAAATTGCTTTAAAGATACTTATCACTAAAGCTAAACGATCTTAATAAGTAACTGTGTTACTTTTAGAATGGTATCTTTACATTCTCAGATAACTCAGATTTAGGGTAATTCCCTCGTATTCTAAAGTTTGCCTTTTTATTAGACTAAGCCACAGTGGTCAGTGTAGCTTCAAATCTACCCTCCTTCCTTTACCCATGTCCTTGTATCAAGGCAGCCACAGCTATTCTCCATACATAACATTCTTCAAATAATTTTGCCATTTTAATTCAAGCAGGTGTTAAAAACTAGAATTAAAGAAGCCTAGGTTCCAATACCTTTCTTCACAAATACTTTACTGTCCAAGACGGCTGCATTCGCCTAATGGTCTTTCCCTCACTGAAGACACTAAGGAGGTCTCTCTTTGCCCGGCTACCTGTTTTCACAAAGACCTTCAGAAGATAACATTTGAGTCCTCTGTAACAGGAAATGCATGCACTTCAGCAAGGAAGCCTTAGCCAGGACAAAGCGCTGCACACTCCGCTGAGGGCCGGTTCCTCTCCAGCTGGAGGATGCCCCCCGCTGCTTCCCACTTGGCTGAGGCCTCCGCTAAGCCGTACGCCCTGCCACCGTGACCCGAAGCCGAATCGCTCCTTTTTGCGGGTCTCCTCGGCCAGCGCCCGAAGCCGGGGGCGGCAGCGGTGATGTGCCCTAGAACGGTTCCACCTTCTCGAGGGCGGCGGAGGGGCCGCGCTACCGGGCAGAGCGCAGCGGTGTCAGCCAGAGGCTCAGGGAACCAAAGCGACAGTGCCGGTGTCCCCGTCCTCCCGGACGCTGCGCACACAGCCCGGCTCTC